ATAGTTCATTTACGGCAGTTAAGGCCAGTCCCCACGTTTTCTCAGCGGAATTTTCGCTCTATTTTCAAAATGTAATATCTCCGTTATTAACAGATCTATAGTTTTCAAATTTTAAATATATGTTGTCCATAACTTTCTTTATATAACGCAAGGTCAATTTTGTTAAAAACAGCTTGTGATCATATTATTTTTTTAATTTTAGTGAAATTTTTGCATAACGTATTTTTAAAAATCAATATCTCAATTATTAAATAAAATTTCAGAACACGGTTTTCAACACTGTTTTCAGCTTACAAAACTCCAGAAATCATACGAGACATATCGTCGATTTTATTTTTTAGAAACGATACACAGTTAAAAAAAGCGTATATCATGGAAGTTGCTAACTTTTATTTTTACTATATCTCAGTCCCAACAAATAAAGTCAAAAATCGACCTCGTAGAATTTCTCAAGTTTTGCAAGCTGAAAACAGTGGTGACAACCCCGTTCCAAAATTTCCATAAATAACTGAAATATTACAGGGCGGAGCCTAATTGCAAAATCGATATTTCCTTATAACAATTTTCCATTTTAAAGATGTTTTTTATAATAAATAATAATATTTAAATATTTCTTTAAAAACATGCTTTTGAGTATCGTGATACTATGCATATTAAGAAATAAAGAAAAATATAAACCCCGACCATCCACCCCAACTCAGTTGTGATTTTTCCTTTAGATTTTTGGAATTTTTTGGATTTTATTTTTCTGAATTTTCTGGATTTTTTCGTCTCTTGTTGGATTTTTTGGATTATTTGTTTTTTTTTTAATTTTGTGGTTTTTCAAGATTTTCTGTTTTCCATTTTTCAGATTTTCTGGATTTTGTGTATTTTCCAGATTTCTTGGATTTTCTGTACTTTCCAAATTTTCTGGATTTTGCAGATTTTCTGATTTTCGAGATTTTCTGGATTGTCCAGATTTTCCGGAATTTGTGACTTTCCAGATTTCCCGAATATTCTGGATTTTCCAGATTTTCCGGAATTTTTGGATTTTCCAGATTTCCCAAATTTTCTGGCTTTTCTAGATTTTGTGGATTTTTTAGTAATCCCAGATATTTCAAATTTTCTGAAATTTCCGTATTTTCAGATTATCTGGATTTTCTGGATTTTTCCGATTTATTGGATTTCGTTGGATTTTTTTGATTTCATTAATTTTTTAACTTTTTGGATTTTTTCGATTTTTGATTTTTCAAGATTTTCCATGATTTCCGGATTTTTTAGATTTTCTGGACTTTCCAAATTTTTTTAATTTTCCAGGTTTTCCATATTTTTTTGGATTTTCTGGACTTTCCAAATTTTCTGGATTTTCTAAATTTCCCAGATTTTTCAGATTTTCTGAATTTTTTCGATTCTTTGGATATTTTTTGATTTCTTTGTATTAACTCTTTAAATTTTTACAAGTTTTTGTTTTTTTTTAGAATTTTTGTTTTTTTCCTGGATTTTTTCATCCTTTTGGATTTTTATTAATTTTCTGGTTTTTCAAGATTTTTCATGTTTTCCAGATTTGTTAGATTTTCTGAATTCTGTGAATTTTACAAATTTTGTGAATTTTACAAATTTTCTGAATTTTTCAAATTTTCTGAATTTTCCAGATTTTCTGGAATTTGTGGGTTTTTCAGGTTTCTCAGATTTCTGAATTTTCTATATTTTTTTGGATTTCTTTTTATTTTAAACTTTTAAATTTTTTGTTTTTTTTTAGAATTTTTGTTTTTTTCCTGAATTTTTCGGATTATCTGTTTTTTTTTAATTTCCTGGTTTTTCTAGATTTTCCATGTTTTCCAGATTTGCCAGATTTTTTAAATTTTGTGAATTTTCCACATTTTCTAGATTTTCCAGATTTTTTAGATTTTCTGGACTTTTCAAATTTTCCGAATTTTCCAGATTTTCTTAATTTTCCATATCCTCTGGATTTTCGAGATTTTGCAGATTTTTTGGATATCCCAGATTTTTCAAATTTTCTACATTTTCCAAATTTTCCGGATTTTCAGAAATTTTTCGATTCTTTGCATTTTGTTGGCTTTTTTGGATCTGATTTTTCCGTTATATTTTTGGAATTTTTGGATTTTTTTTTCTGGATTTTCTGGATTTTTTTTACTTTTGTTGGATTTTTTGAGTAATTTAGAATTGTCTAATTTTCTGGATTTTCAAGATTTTCCACATTTGCCAGATTTTTCGAATTTTGTGATTTTTCCGGATTTTTTAGATTTTCTGGACTTTCCAAATTTTCCAGATTTTCTTAATTTTCCATATCCTCTGGATTTTCGAGATTTTGCAGATTTTTTGGATATCCCAGATTTTTCAAATTTTCTGAATTTTCAAAATTTTCCAGATTTGCCAGATTCTTCATATTTTCTGAATTTTCCGGATTTTCAGAATTTTTTCGATTCTTTGGATTTTGTTGACTTTTTTGGATCTTTGATTTTTCCGTTAGATTTTTGGAATTTTTAAATTTTTTTTTCTGGATTTTCTGGATTTTTTTTAGTACTTTTGTTTACATTTTTTTAATTTTCTGAATTTTCAAGATTTTCCAGATTTGCCAGATTTTTCGAATTTGGTGATTTTTCCACATTTTCTGGATTTTCCAGATGTTTTAGATTTTCTGGGCTTTCCAAATTTTCCGAATTCTCCAGATTTTCTTAATTTTCCAGATCCTCTAGATTTTCCACATTTTGTAGATTTTCTGGTCATCCCAGATTTTTCAAATTTTCTGAATTTTCCAGATTTTCCAGATTTTTCATATTTTTTGAATTTTCCAAATTTTCCGGATTTTCTGAATTTTTTCGATTCTCTGGATTTTGTTGGCGTTTTTGGATCTTTGATTTTTCCGTTAGATTTTGGAATTTTTGGATTTTTTTTCTGGATATTCTGGATTTTTTTGTCTTTTGTTGAATTTTTTGAGTAATTAAGATTTTTTTTTTAATTTGTGATTTTTCCAGATTTTCTGGATTTTCCAAAATTTTTAGATTTTCTGGACTTTCCAAATTTTCCGAATTTGCCAGATTTTCTTAATTTTCCAGATCCAGATCCTCTGGATTTTCCAGAATTTGCAGATTTTCTGGATATCCCAAGTTTTTCAAATTTTCTGAATTTTCCAGATTTTCCAGATTTGACAGATTCTTCATATTTTCTGAATTTTCTGCATTTTCCAAATTTTCCGGATTTTCTTAATTTTTTTAATTCTTTGGATTTTGTTGGCTTATTTTGGATCTTTGATTTTCCCGTTAGATTTTTGGAATTTTTGGATTTTTTTCTGGATTTTCCGGATTTTTTTGTCTTTTTGGATTTTTTGAGTTATTTAGATATTTTTAATTTTAAGGTTTTTCAAGATTTTCCAGATTTTCTAAATTTTCCAGATTTTCCAGATTCTCTGGAATTTCGGGATTTTCTGGATTTTCCAGATGTCGCAAATATTCTGGATTTTCGAGACTTTCTGGATTTTTTTGGATTTCATTTCATTTTCTTAACTTTTTAGATTTTTTTTCGATTGTTTAGAATTTTTGATTTCTTATTAGGTTTTTTATTTTTATCTTTGAATTTTCCAAATTTTCTGGATTTTCCAGATTTTCTGAATTTTGTGGATTTTGCAATTTTCTGGATTTTCTAGATTTTTTGGCTTTTCCAGATTTTCTGGATTTCGTGGATTTTCCAGATTTTCAGATTGTCATTTTCTGGATCTTTTCGATTTTTTCGATTCTTTGGATTTTGTTGGATTTTTTGGATTTCTTTGATTTTGTTTTACTTTTTAAATCTTTTTCAATTTTTTTTTGGAATTTTAAAATTTTTTTCAGAATTTTTGATTTTTTCCTTTAGATTTTTGGAATTATTTTTAATTTTCTGGTTTTTCAAAAGTTTCCATGTTTCCCAGATTTGCCAGATGTTTTCTGAATTTTGTGAATTTTCCACATTTTGCAGAATTTTCCAGATTTTCTGGATTTTCGAGTTTTTCTGGATTTCTCAGATTTTTCATACTTTCTGAATTTTCCACATTTTCCAGACTTTTCGGATTTTTTTAAATTTATTTGATTTTTTAAAATTTGTTTTCATCTTTTGTTGGGTTATTTGGATTTTTTTTTTAATTTTCTAGTTTTTCAAGATTTTCCATGATTTCTAAATTTGCCAGTTAATTCCGAATTTGGTGAATTTTCCAGATTTTCTCGATTTAACAGATTATTTAGATTTTCTGGACCATCCAAATTTTTTGGATTTTCTGGATTTTCCAGATTTTGTGGATTTTCCAGATTTCCCAGATTTTTCAAATTTTCTAAATTTTCCAGATTATCTGTGATTTGCATTAGGCTCCGCCCTTTGGTCTGCCAACGAATGAAAACTTCAGTACTATTTAGATCAGGGTAGGTGGGGCTTAATCTTTGCCTTTAATTTTTTCTTAATAATATACATAGTATTTTTTGAACAACACGATACTCAAAAACATGATGTGTTTAATTGCTTCTAGAGAAACCGGGATTTTGCAGTTAAGCTCCGCCCCCTTAACTCACGACGAATAAAAGAAAGTCATCACAATTGAGATAGGGCGGGTGGGCGGGCCTACATTTTTTCATTTATAGCCTCTAAAAAATGATGACTTAAAAACCCTACGATAGTAGATGTTCAGTCAAAATTCGTGGTTTTTTTCAGTACTCATTGAAAAAAAAAGCTTTCGTATTTTTTTTAAATTTTAATCTCAAGGAAACCCAAAAAATGACATTACAAATGTCAGTTGTATTGTGATGTCCCCCACAATTTTTATGAACTGTCATTTAAAAATATGTAGATGGCGTTGCGCTCTGACGTTGCGTAACATTTTTTCTAATTTTTGTTGCTTTCAAACATTCATACTTAATTGTACCGTGGTTTTCCCAAACCTGCATTTCCACCCAAATAAATCGATTGTAACTTATTTGAAAACTGAACTCAGCCCAGGACCTTTCCATTTCAAACCACGCGCAATTGGCACCACTTCTTTGACATTTGACATAACACTGACGTCACTGACATTTATATTATGCCAATACCGTGTCCGTGCAAATCCTTCCTCAGGTCCTAAAATTCGGCCCTAAAAGCTCGCGTAACTGCAATGTTGCCGTTACCACGAACAATGTAATATAAAACCCACGTTTGACTAGTTTTACGCGTCACGACAGCACAACTTCGTAACTGTGATGTTGACGAGGTAAGCCTAGAACACCCATGAACACTTAACTGATAATGCGCTTCAGGAAGGCCGGATGAAAGCGAATTAATTTGGAAGGCGTCCGTCAACTCGAAGCAAAATAGGTAAACGTAAAAGAAAATTTAGCACCCGAGCCACCATGACCCGACCCCCAAACGAACAAACGCCCACCGTCAAACTCGTCGTCGTCGGAGACGGCGGCGTCGGAAAAAGCGCAATCACGATACAGTTTTTCCAGAGACTGTTTGTCACAGACTATGACCCTACAATCGAAGATAGCTACCTGCAACATGTGGAAGTAGACGGGCAGTGCTGTATTTTAGATGGTAGTTATGGTTGCTCTCCGTATCACTCAGTTTTTTAATGATTGTTGTTTCAGTTTTGGACACAGCCGGACAAGAGGAATTTAGCGCGATGCGGGAGCAGTACATGCGGAAAGGGGACGGTTTTCTGTTGGTTTATTCTGTGACAGACAAAAACAGCTATGAAAACATAGTAAACTTTCACACTCAGATACTCAGAGTCAAAGATAGAGACACTTATCCCATGCTACTGGTTGCTAATAAGGTGGATCTTGTCCATCTGCGCAAAATCACGGAAGAACAAGGCCGGGAGCTTGCTCACAAGTTGGGAATACCTTACATCGAGACAAGTGCTAAAGATCCTCCAGTCAATATTGATGCAACTTTTCACGAGGTACTCACGCCACCTCGATTACACTTATCTTGATCATTGTATTTTTGTTTTCAGGTGGTGCGAATCATCCGAAATCAGCCGCAGCCCGACGACGACAAACAGAAAAAGAAAAAGCTTGCAAAACTTGGAAAGTGCGTCATCATTTAAAATTAATTTTTTATGTATGTTACTGGCCTATACACTGTATATTACAGCTTTAAAATCAAGTGTTCAATGTAATGCATATAATGTAATTTTACACGAGAGTATGGAAAGCGCATGTGGTGCTGTTCCACGTTCTTTGTGAATATGTGCGTATACATAATTTTATTTTAAAACAAAGTAGGATAAGTTTAATCTTTGTTATGAAAGTAATATTTTCAAAGGACCAAAACTGCTCATTTTCTTAAATTGCTCTCAATTCACGACCTAAAATGGCACTAAATTGTTTAGTCGTTTTTAAAAACCAAAGGTAAAGACAATATTGTGATAATTCAATTTATGTAGGTTAAGTGTAAGTGTTGATTTTTTGTCCTAAAAGAACCGCTTTTGTTCTATCAGTTTTGCTTTTATATATTAACTAACATATAATATGTAATGTCTCTGAATGTATTTCTAGTTTTCTTTGTGTGTTAACTATATTGTAAATGGACGATTGTCAAAAACGCGTCACTCAGACGCAACGTATTAAATTGATCTCTAATTAAACTTGAAGCCAAAATTTAGTTTTACGTTCTTAAATTGCGATTTGAGAATCGTCCATGAATCTTTGTTTGAGTACTTACTACGGGTTGTACGATCGTCTTGACGAAATTATAAAAGCAAAATTAAACCTATAAAATTTTTATTAGACGTTTGTAATTTAAATCACAGCAAAAGTTGGAGCTAGTAACATGTCAGTGCAATTGATTACAGCAACAACTTTTGTGACTAAATAAAGTTAAAATAAATTTGTATAACGATAAATTTGTTGGTTCATTTCTAGGTTCAAGTCACTAAATCTGAATCATGAGATGGACATTCGCAACTGATGTTACCAATCTGTGATGATAATGTTTATTGAAATTTCATTTGTTTGTTTTTACTCACTCAAACCGAGTAATTTATTGTTCAGTGTAGTAGGACTTAGTACCTAGGTCTCAATGTTAGCGTGTTAAAGTGTATTTTATGTTTGATTTTTTTACCCATGACACGTTTACAGGGGTAACTATGTAAAAAGAGATAATACAGCATTTGAAATTAAAATTTTCGTGTCTGAATTCCTTTGTTTTTTTTTTTTTGAAGTGGGTAAGCAACAATTTATTTTTAATTTTTGGAAATAATTCATAGCCACAAGTTTAATTTTTCGCTTAGCGAATTTTATTGTTTTTTTTATGGCAACAGACAGACCTATTTTTTCGTACTCTAGGGGTCATGAAACGTCGAGAAAACGTTAAAGGGGAGAGTCGACCGACGGACTCGAAAATCAATGAGAAATCAAAATTTAAAAATCGAAAAAACTAAAAATTTTAAAAATTGGAAAACTGATCCACTTAAAAATCATTAAACTGCAAAATCAAAAATTTAAAGATCAAAATGTTGAAAATTGAAAAACCGAGAAATCAAAAACCCCAAAATTTAATATAAAATATCGAAAAACTGAAAAACCCGAAAATTCAAGAATCGAAAAACTGAAAATTCGACAAATTTAAGGATTCCAAAACTAAAATGACGAAAAATCGGAAAATTGAAAAGTCGAAAAAACCAAACATCGGAAAATTAATAAATTTAAACATTGAGAAACGAAATATCAAAAGATCGAGAAATCGAAAAATGGAAAAGTGGAAAGATCGAAATCTCGATGATCGAAAAATTGAAAAACTGTAGAAACTGAAAAATCTACAACCGAGAAGTCGAAGACTAGAAATATCGAACAATCGAAACATCAAAAAATTGAAAAAGTAAAATATGAAAAAATTGAAAAATTCTCAAAATTGAAATGTTGAAAATTGAGAATTCACAAACTTGAAAAATCGAAAAAACGAAATATTTTTTAAATTGAAAAACCAAGTTGTCAAGAACTCGAAAAATAGAAAAATCGAGAAATCGAAAAAGTCGAAAAATTGAAGCATCGAAAAGTTGAAAAACTGGGAGATTGAGAAACGAAACAACAAAAAATCGAAAAACCAAAAAATCGAAAAGCGAGTGGAGTCGAAAAACCGAAAAATGGAAAAATTGAAATATGGATAAATCGAGAAATCGAAAAACAGAAACATCGGAAAATTGAAAAATCGGAAAATCAGAATTTTAAAATTGAAAAGCCAAAATGTCAAGGACTCGAATCGAAAATTCGTAAAATTGAATAACTGAAAAGTCGAAAGATGTGAAAATTTAAAAAATCGAAAAACTGAAAAATCAATAAACTAAAAAATCAAAAATTGAAAAATTCGAAGAATCGAAAAATTGAAAAATCGAAAATTGGAAAATTCGAAGAATTGGAAAAATTGAAAAATCGAAAAAACTAAACATCGGAAAATTAAAAAATTCAAACATTGAGAAACGAAACATCAAAAGATCGAGAAATCGAAAAATGGAAACATTGAAATCTCGATGATCGAAAAAATTGAAACATCCAAAAACTGAAAAATTGAAAAATCAGAACTTTAAAAATTGAAAAATTTTAGAAACTGAAAAATCTAAAACCGAGAAGTTGAAAACTAGAAATATCGAACAATCGAAACATCAAAAAATTGAAAAAGTAAAATATGAAAAAATTGAAAAATCCCGAAAGCTGACAAATTCTCAAAATTGAAATGTTGAAAATTGAGAACTCACAAACTTGAAAAATCGAAAAGACGAAATATTTTTTAAATTGAAAAACCAAGTTGTCAAGGACTCGTAAAATAGAAAAATCCAGAAATTGAAAAATCAATAAACTGGAAAATCAAAAATTTAAAAATTGAAAGAAGCGAAAAATCGAAAAATCTAAAATTTAAGAATCGAAAAGCAGAAAAATTGCAAAACCGAGAAATCAAAAACCCGAAATTTAAGATTTCTAAAAATTGAAAAACCGGAAAATTGAAAAACCGGAAAATTCAAGAATCGAATAACTGAAAAATCGAGAAATTTAAAAGTTCCAAAACAAGTGACGTAAAACTGGGAAATCAAAAAATTCGAAAATCGAAAAGTCGAAAAATTTAAGCATCGAAAAGTTGAAAAACTGGGAGATTGAGGAACGAAACAAAAAAATATGGATAAATCGAGAAATCGAAAAACAGAAACATCATGTCAAGGACTCGAATCGAAAACTCGTAAAATTGAATAATTGAAAAGTCGAAAGATGTGAAAATTTAAAAAATCGAAAAACTGAAAAATTGGAAGAATCCAAAAATTGAAAAATCGAAAAAATGATCACTAAAAAATCGAAATCGGAAAAGTCAAAAAATCGAAAGATCGAGTAAACGAACATCTAAATATGGAAAAATTGAAGAATGAATAAACTGAAAAATCAAAAATTTAAAAATTGGAAGACTTGAAAAATTGCAAAACCGAAAAATCAAAAACTCACAATTCAAAATATCGAAAAATTGAAAAATCGGAAAATTCGTTAATCGAATAACTGAAAAATCGAGAAATTTAAAAATTACAAAACAAATGACGAAAAACCGAGAAATCGAAAATCGAATGGAGTGGAAAAACCGAAAATGGAAAGTTCGAAATCTGGATAAATCGAGAAATCGAAAAATAGAAACATTGGAAAACTGAAAATTCGAAAAATCAGAATTTTAAAATTGAAAAACTAAGATGTCAAGGACTCGAATCGAAAACTCGTTAAATTGAATAATTGAAAGGTTGAAAGATGTGAAAATTTAAAATATCGAAAAATTGAAAAATTCGAAGAATCGAAAAATTCGAAGAATTGGAAAAACTGAAAAATCGAAAGATGATACACTAAAAATCAAAATCGGAAAAGTCAAACAATCGAAAGATCGAGGAAACGAACATCTAAATATCGAAAAACTAAAAAATCCAGAAATTGAAAAATCAATAACCGGAGAATTAAAAATGTAAAAATTGGAAGAAGTGGAAAATCGAAACATCGAGAAATCAAAAAATCTAAAGTTTAAAAATCGAAAAGTCGAAAAATTGAAAAACCGACAAATCAAAAACCCGAAATTTAAAATATCGAATAATTGAAAAATCGGAAAATTCAATAAGCGAATAACTGAAAAATCGAGAAATTTAAAAATTCCAAAACAAATGACAAAAAAATTGGAACTCGAAAAATTGGAAAGTCGAAAAGTCGAAAAACTCAAACATCGAAATGTTGAAAAACTGAAACATTGAGAAACGAAACATCAAAAGATCGGAAAACCGACAAACTGAGAAACCGAAAAATGGAAAAATGATCGAAATCTGGATAAATTGAAAATTCTAAAAATCGGAATTTCATAAATTGAAAAATTGTAAAAATTGATAAATGTAAATCCGAATAGTCGTAAGCTAGAAAGATCGAACAATCGAAACTGCAAAAAATCTAAAAATTGAATTATATAAACATTTGAAAAATCCAGATTTTGAAAAATTCCCAAAACTGAAATGTTGAAAAATTAAGAATTAATCAAAAACTTGCAAGATCGAAAAGACGAAATATTTTTTAAATTGAAAAACCAAGATGTCAAGGTCTCGAATCGAAAACTCGTAAAATTGAATAATTCGAAGAATTGAAAAATCGAAATCGGAAAAATCAAAAAATCGAAAGATGAAGCAAACGAACATCTAATTATGGAAACATTGAAAAATCCAGAAATTGAAAAATCATAAACTGGAGAATCAAAAATTTAAAAATTGGAAGAAGTGAAAAATCGAAAAATCGATAAATCAAAAAATCTAAAGTTTAAAAATTGAAAAGTCGAAAAATTGAAAAACCGAGAAATCAAAAACCCGAAACTTAAAATATCGAAAAATTGAAAAATTGGAAAATTCAAGAATCATAAAACTGATCAATATTTAAATTTAAAAAATTCCAATACAAAAAAATTGTGAAATCGAAAAATTAGGAAATCGAAGTCTAAAAATCGAAAATCGAAAAATTAAAAACCTGAAACATAAAGAAACGAAAGATCAAAAGATCGAGAAACCGAGAAATCGAAAAGTCGAATGGAGTCGATAAATCGAAAAATTGAGAAATTGAAAAATGGGAAAATAGAAAGATCAAAATCTGGATAAATCGATATATTGAAACATCGGAAAACAGAAAAATCGAAAAATCAGAATTTCGAAAATTGAAAACACGTAAAATTGAATAATTGAAAATTCGAAAGATGTGAAAATTTAAAAAATCGAAAAACGGAAAAATCGATAGACTGCAGAATCAAAAACTTAAAAATTGGAAGAAGTGAAAAATCGAAAAATTTAGAAATCGAGAAACCAAAAAATCTAAAATTAAAAAATCGAAAAGTTGAAAAATTGAAAAACCGAGAAATCAAAATTCCGAAATTTAAAATATCGAAAAATAGAAAAATCAAAAATGGGAAAATTAAGAAAATTAAGGAATCGAAGAAACGAAAAGTAAAAAATCGATAATTTCAAGAATCGATGTGATGCTGTTCCACGTTCTTTGTGAATATGTGCGTATACCTACATAATTTTATTTTAAAACAAAGTAGGATAAGTTTAATCTTTGTTATGAAAGTAATATTTTCAAAGGACCAAAACTGCTCATTTTCTTAAATTGCTCTCAATTCACGACCTAAAATGGCACTAAATTGTTTAGTCGTTTTTAAAAACCAAAGGTAAAGACAATATTGTGATAATTCAATTTATGTAGGTTAAGTGTAAGTGTTGATTTTTTGTCCTAAAAAAACTGCTTTTGTTGTATCAGTTTTGCTTTTATATATTAACTAACATATAATATGTAATGTCTCTGAATGTATTTCTAGTTTTCTTTGTGTGTTAACTATATTGTAAATGGACGATTGTCAAAAACGCGTCACGTACGAGTAAAAAATACTCAGACGCAACGTATTAAATTGATCTCTAATTAAACTTGAAGCCAAAATTTAGTTTTACGTTCTTAAATTGCGATTTGAGAATCGTCCATGAATCTTTGTTTGAGTACTTACTACGGGTTGTACGATCGTCTTGACGAAATTATAAAAGCAAAATTAAACCTATAAAATTTTTATTAGACGTTTGTAATTTAAATCACAACAAAAGTTGGAGCTAGTAACATGTCAGTGCAATTGATTACAGCGACAACTTTTGTGACTAAATAAAG